CCTTTTCGCTACTTACGTTCGCCCTGAATGGACTAAAATGTGAAAAGGAAACGACTCGATCGCTTGGAAAATACTTTTTTTCCCTGACGTTTTGACATCCACCGCGGATTCATCATCAGATACGGTAGCAGTTGCACACTGACGCTTGTTTCAAGGGACCCGAATTTTAAATTCCATACGAAACTGTCCCGAATTACTTCTCCTTTACATACGAGTAGCGTTCTTAATTGCTGACAGGGTTCAAACTTAGACGTACATTTTTATATTTTGCCCGATGAATCCTTGGTAACATTATCCTTTCACAATCCGTTATGCAGCTGTTTTTTTCTGTTGTCCCTTGCAGAGGTCCTCAATCCGCGTCCGCCGGCACACTTTGATTGCAGATACTGCAACAAAAAATTCGTCTCTCAGGCTCACCTTCGCAGTCATATTGTCTACTCGCATAATGGTGCGTTTTGCTGCTTTTCCAATCTCCCCCCTCCTTCTCTCATTCTGTCAGTTATTTGCGGTGGTAGACTCTGTAAATCTCTCTGGCGCCGTTTTTACCCCTTGCATATGCGCTACAGAGCTTGCCATACATTCCACGCTTTCGCACTTCTGTCTCCCTTACACTAATTGTGTCCTCCTCCTCTTCTTCCCGTCCATACCGCGTCGGCCAGTTCTTATTGAAGTTAAACGTTTCACGCAATAGGAGCCTACAGAGTTTTCCATGCATCTCGCGTTTTGCTCCCCATGTTTCCGCTACTCCGGCTGCTATTATTCCTACCTCTCTCCCTTCCCTCTTCTTTGGTATCTTCTTACCCTTGCGTCGGCCGATTTTAACTGGCCTTCAACGCTTGGCGTCATAGGAAACTTTAAACCACCATCGTTGCAAATTTGCCATGAATTCACAGTTATCCCGTTCGAATTTCAGTCAGATACCTGTAAAACTGTACCATTTCGGGCTTCAAAAGTGAAGCTGGCAGATTTACCTTTAAAGTCCAATCAGATCAAGAGCAAAATACCTGTGTGCTTTGATGTAGAACATGATCCAGACACTATCTGTTATGACCAGTGCCTGATAGTGATAATTAACGCAACCTATGAGCTTGCTTGACCCTTGTTTCGAAAGCTAGCAGGGGAGAGAGGAAGGGAAGGCAATCTACCGCGAGGAGAGCTGTTTTCAACTAGCAAGTCACTCGCACAGAAAGGCTGCGTATATGTTTATTGATCCGCTTGAGAGGGAAGTCTCGGCGACCATGGACTAATCAGATCTGACGGGAGATCGATAACCACGTTCCAGATGGCAGCTCACGCAGACGCCTTTTTGTGCGATGACTGATCATGGAAATGAAATCATTGTCAAAACTGCCTCAACAGAAAAACAGAAAGCTCAAATGCGCAGACTAGGCCCCTAACACAGTCATTAAATTTGTAATCCCGTAATGCCTGATTTAGAAATTTATACAGTAGTCGCCAGTTAATAAGCCCAGCCGCCTATTAAGCCCAATTTGGTCTGGGCCCGAGGTGGGCTTAATAACTGGCGACTACTGTATTTGCATGGAAATAGGACATTTCGCAGAATACTTCAGGCTACAATAAGCACAGTACACACTGTCTTATAAACGCCTTCAATTAATAATCCCAATCATATCTTATGTGTTGTGGCGCTCGCCCTCAAACCGGCCATGCATGCTGGCTACATCGAGACTCAGCGGGCCTTTTGCCCCTAGCGCCCACACCTGCGCTTAAACAGCATTTACTACTTAAGTAGACAGAAGACGTTTGCTTATTTTTAAAATAGAGGTTCTCATTTTTTCCCTTTCTGCGCGCTCTTCTCACAGGCCGAATTGTGTCAGCGGTCAGGTGAGGAAGGAAGTGGTCCGCTACATCTGCAGCATGTGCAAAAAACGCATGTGCACCATCGCCACTGTCGTATAACCGCCTAACATACACACGCTACCAGCAGACAGACAGAAGTATAACTCCGTGTAATTATTTACCACACTGGTAGCACAAACTAGGAGTCTTTACATTTTCGCCGGTATTACATATTGTATATACAGTAGTCGCCGGCTATTAAGCCCACCTCGGGAGCAGACCAAATTGGGCTTAATAAGCGGCGGGCGCATTAACTGGAGAGTCCTAG